CCTGCTGAAAATATAATTGAGAAAAAGTTTTATAAGATGCTGATTAATGAATTAAATGAATATTAATAAGTTATCTGTCTAATTTATTAATTCTATTGAACCTAATAAGTTCTCTCTCAGACCAATTTTATAAACACTTTACTTACAATGTTATTATACATCATATTAAAGGGCCACATGAAGGATGACAGGTCCAAATCTGAGTGTCACAAAGAAATCTGAAGCCAGATTGGAACAAAATAAGCAGAAGCATGATTATCTGCAAAGAACTGGTCTTGATTGGCAGCCTAGGTTAATGCCTTGACAATATCAAGCCCCTCATACTCCTTTGCTTTAAAATCCAGCTCTACTTATGGGAAAGTGTGCTGTCAAAAATATAGGATAATTCTTCATATTCTCACAATGGGATTGATAAAACAGAAAACATTGTAAAGTATAATTATAATGAGATGCATGGAAGTTAGCATATAAAATAGCAACCACACTCTGTAAGAACTTTTAATCCTTTACATTCAGTTTTGAACATCTTCAATCTATGAATCGCTGTCACATTACAGTGCAGCTGATATCAATTTTTTTCTGCTTCACTCTGCACAGCAATGAAAGTCGGAGTGAGAAAGAAAGTGTGGTCAGTTTAGAGGACGAGAACCCTACATTTCCATATAGCTTTTGGTGGGGGAGATCTAGATAGCTTTATTTTAAAGGAGAACCCTCTAAACTTTGATGGGAAATTTTTGTTCTATAAGTATCAAGAGGGGGGAGGTCAGTGGCAACAATTACATGACGACAAGACTGAGGGAGGAATCCAAGAGAAAAACATGGCGGGAGTTTGATGGTAGAAGGGTGGGGAGAAATATGGATATAGGTCCATTATCCTGGACACCCAAGAAAGCAGACAAGATGCAAAGTATGTAGTTTAACTGGATTGCAACTGTTTTAACTTAATTCATCTGGAAACTATCGAGCAATAACTCGTAAAGTGCAGGTCATAATCCTTCCCTTAAGCATTTCAAGCAGGTTGAGGGCTTTCATCGGTCCCCTTCCATCCACATCTGGGTCTTGTCTACACTACAGCAGAAGGTCAAAATAAGATACATTAATTACATAGCTGGAGTCAACATGTCTTAAATCGTATTTCTGTGCTATCCACATAGCGGGAGGCCGATGGGAACAAACACTCCAATTAGCTTACCTTTGGCTTCACAAAAGGAGGAGTATCGGACACTGATTGAAGCTACTCTCAGCGTTCAATGTACTGGTCAATACTTGACCCGCTAAATCAAAAGCCAGAAGATCGACCTCTGGAGTGTGATCTTCCACATAGTGTAGACTTGCCCTTGCTGTCACCACCTTCTTCTCATATAAGGATTAACAGGCTGGGGAAAAGAAATTGGCTCCTACCTGTATCAAACATTAGGAGCCTCCATCTCATTCCCCAGCTTCTTTAGTGCACTTCAAATTCTAGTTCTTCAGAAAACCAGACCCTATAGACTGAGTACTTGCAGACTCTGGGATGATTTCCAGGAAATGACTGCTGGATCCTATTGGTCACATTAATGGCCTTGGTAATCATTAACCCTGAGTAGAAAGAATG